TGCTTTCTGTGTTAGTGCATGTGATAGAGAAGATGTTATAACACAATGTCTATTATCTTTTAGTGTGACACTGCTACAACATCATCTCAATGCTGTCTGGTCGATTTGTTTTGCATAACTTATAATTTTGTGTATTCCGCTCCCCCCCACCCAAACTTTCAAATGGTATCAAAATGGTTAAGCTTGAGTTATTAGCTTGATTCGAAAGAGAGTTAAAACACTTTTTAAAGAGAGTTAAATCACTTTTTAAAGAAAGATGTGGTTATGATTCATATCATCAGGGGCAGTAAATTATAAAAAGGGATGGAGCTCCAGCAGAAAAATTCAGATGGGAGCTGAGCATGTGCATTGATCTTCATCGTATATATTTTTTTGTTACTTTGCGCTTGTAATTATTTTATGCTCTTAAGAGAATTGGGTATTACTATTCTTTTAGCTTGAATAAATTTTATATATTTTGTATAAAAAAGAGAGAAAAGGCTTTGTTCTTTAAAGATGCTTGATTTTTTATGCACGTGTTGCACGATGCATTTTACCAAAAAATTGTCAAAAGGGGAGATTGTTAGTTCCTAGATTTTGGCTAATCTTTTGGAAAAACTAAATCCCATATTCATTAGGAGTTTTACTAGGTAGAAACCTCTATTTTATAGGAGAGTGTTATATATTTAGAGTCCTAGAGTTCATGTAGTTTTTGAGAGTGACACAAAAGATGCTATAACACACAGCACGGGATCAGAAGTCTGTGCACATGAATTTAAACTGCAATCTACAATTTTCAAAATTGGGAGTTTAAAATACTTCCTATGAGTTATCTATTAATGGCCAGCTGTTCATGTTAAAGAATCCCCACACTTTAAATTACTTGTGGATAGAGAATAAAAAATTGTATTCAAGACAACTTATATACTAACCTATTCCTACTAGGATTAGGTTTGGAGAGGCCTATAAAAATGTAGAAGATCCCTGAGAATTCTTGGAGCGATTGAGAGGGAAAAAACACAGAATATACACTAATGTAGAGTGTTCATGTCGCATCCCGGAACTTCCCTTACACGAAGAAAGTTACGATCTACATGAAAAAAGAGATCTTCAATTCCAAATAGATCGTAACATCCATAAAATGAACTTGAGTTGAACAAGACGGCTACCAACCTTGTTTGTCCTTGTGATCTCGGTGGAGATGTGATAGCCAAAGCGGATTCGAACATGGTTTGAGTTAGAAGTCTTAGATTAGAAGTTTTGTCATAACAATTTGGAAAAGTGTGTCTCATCTTGTTGTTATGAACTGGTGTAACTTACATATAGTGATTTAGTAGAAAGCTATTACACGGACGTGGGGCATGCAGATGTAGGAGAGATCTTTGAACTGCGTAAACATATCTGGTGTTCTTTGTTATGTTTTATAGTTAAAGCATTGTGTCCTCAAGGCGCTGTAACAACCTATGTGCCATTTGCTTTTCTCTCTGTGTGTGCATGTCACAAAGAAGATGTTATATAACACTATCTATCACCTGTTAATGTGATAATGCTACATTACCATCTCAACTCTAGCTGATCGATTTGTTTGCATAGCTTTTAATTTGGTGTGTTTTGCTACCCCCATGAACTTTCAATATGTATCAGAGCGGTTAATGTAGTTATGATGCATATCGTGAAGGGCAGTAAATTAAAAAAAGGATGGAGCTCCAGCAGAACAATTTAAATGGGAGCTGAGCATGTGCATTGGTCTTCATGGTATATTTTGTTGTTGTTTTGTCTTTGTAAATGTTGTATGCTTGAAAAGACTTTGGTATTACTTTTGTGTTTTAACCTTAATAAATTTGGTATTGCACGAAGCGTTTTACCAAAAAATTGCCAAAAGGGGAGATTGTTAGTTCCAAGATGTTGGCTAATATTTTGGGAGAACTAAATCCCATATTTATTTAGACTCACAGAGTTGCTATAGTTTTCGAGGGTGACGCAAAGGTCTCAACCATGGATATAAGTGGTTGTATTGTGTTAGTAAAGCTGCCGAGGAGTGCGCTAGTCATCACCTGATCTTGTCAGAACTAGGTGAAATGGCATGGATTGAAAGCTATGTGAGTGGAGTTGGTGACTCGGTCTAGATCGGAGTGGCGGCGCAGGGAGGGTACCATCAATATAATCGATAAGGTTATATCCAATCCAAGTGGAACAAGCTTGTCGTTTCCAAATAGGGAAGTTCACCGTGGTGAGTTTAATTGAGAAATGTGTCTTGGCATGAATCTAAACGACCACAAATTTGGTCATGATGGTAGCGAATGTCGGAATGACAACCATGGCAACAATGTGCACAGAGGATCGAAAAAAAGTGATTAGAACAAAGATTTCTCTAATACCATATGAACGAAAGAATTCTTGATAACTTTATTCACAGTCCTATGGCTTTATATAGCCATGAAGAATAACATACTCATGAGAGGAATTAGGATCTAAACTAACAACTCTAACTACTAGCTAAATATAGTCTAATAATACAAATAATATTTACACAGGACAAGTACACGCATAAAATAATATCAATAACTAATGGAGTTTTTCTTTAGGCTTAATACTTCCAACACAATCAATAATAAGAATTCAACAATTCAATTCACAGATCCAACATCAATTGGCAATAATATATCAACAAATCCTAATCTATGAATAAATTCTAATGAAAGATACCACTACTACTCACCTCGCGTTAATTAGCAAGAAACAAAAATTAATTAGTATAGGAATTCTGGCGAAGAACTCAGGCATAGACTCTGGTTTGGTCGGCAACCTGGGATGAGAATTTGAAGAAGAAGACATGCGGCGTTTTGAAAGAACGATGAAAAGAATTGGTTTCACACACACACACGCACACACACACACATGCATGCAAGTTAGGCCATGCAGGATGCAATTAGAATTTGGGCTTGTGTGACATAATAAATATTATCATTATTTTATAAAATTTCTTTTATTTAATTATTAAACTGTAACGTCTTTTCACTCATAAATTTTTACACATAAATTCAAACCTGACAGACTATATGCGTTTAATCACGTACCTTTTCTCGTGACCTACCCAATGACCCAAAATAGTATTATCTCTACGTCATACTTTTATTTTATTCATTTTTATAATCTTTTCAATCTTGTGATGGTCAAATCCCTAACTTTTGTAACTCAAACTTGCATGCGGAATATGCCGTTGAGCTCGTCTCATTGAGAACTTCAATTAGAGTAAAAAAATTTCCATAAAAAGGTAACTTTGAAAATCAGTTATTTTTAACACTGTCGTTTTATTTTTTTTAATTTAATTGAAATTGGAATTATGAGTTTTTAGAAAGTCAGTATTAACTTTTAGGGTATATTTTTGGGTGTTATAATGCACCATATCAAAAGTTGTAGTACACTGTGCCACACTATTGGATTCTTTTGTTAATTGCGAGACTAAAATTAAGTGACAGTGAGGGTTGGGAACAAACAAGACATTCTTCAAAACCAAAGTGTTACTCAAACTAACCATTTCAAATTTAACACACAAAATCATTTTTCCATCTAGTAAACCAATCTCACTAGTGTTGTGTATTAAAGATTCATCACCTGTCATATGATTCGATGCCCATGTATCAATAATCCAATGGGGACTAGAGAAAGTACGTGTAAGTTTCTCATCTGATCCTATGGGTGATAAAGAAAGTTCTTGAAGAACCGTGTCCCACTATGCTACTATAAGATGCTCAAAATCAAGCAAAGAATAGGAGTTCGATTTGTGTACTGCGTGCATGGCCTGCCTACCGCTGCCTCTGCGGTGGCACCCAGGCTCCCGGTCGGTGTCAACCCTTGGCCGCCAAGGCCAAGCCCACATCCCACACCCCTGCTGTCACATGTGGCACATCCACATCCTCGCCCAAACACCCATTCCTCAGGGTATCCGTGTAGTGTGTAGCAAGTGCCAACTTCATGGCCAGGCTTTTTGCAACTGGTACAAACAATCTCCTTCTTCGGGTTGGTTCGCATAACAAACGCGGATGCCACCGAAACTTCCTTCACACTTCAATTAGCAAGACATGCAGTTTTGTTTTGTGTCAAAATATTGTAGATCGTATGTATTAACTGTAGGAAAAGGATCTTGGGGCAGAAGATTCAAGTGAATTGAACCATATTGTGCCTCGTCAAGACCCATCAGATAGGTGGGCTTCTTCTTCCTTTTTCTTCACTAGGGTAGCTAGACTTGCCACACACTTGGCACAAACACAATCAGGAAATTTGTCAAGGTCATGCAAATCATCTCATAGTTTTTTCATCTTACCATAATAGTAAAAAATGGCAAGTCCTTTCTGTTTGCAATCACTTAACTTGCGTTTTAGTTGTTAGATACGTGGTCCGTTCACAACTCAGAACCGAGCCTTCAATTCATCCCATAAATCAGAGACCAATTCACTGATCGAATTAATGGATCGCAACGAAGCTTCAATTGTGTTACGAATCCAAAAAACAGTTAGTGAATGATTGGTCCACCAATCATCTAAATCATCGAAAGCCTTGTCCGGTTGCACAATACTTCGATCAACAAAACCAAATTTCTTACGAGCCTGTAGAGCAAGACGCAAGGATTTGGAACACTCTTCACAATTCGAACCCTTGAACACAACCTCGATTAAAAGTAACCCCAGATTATAACTTGGGGAGAGATCGTAAAGAGAGATGTGTCGATGCTGTACTGGAACATCGTCATCTTCATGGCCATCAGTCTTCTTTTGGGGCGATTTTTTTCGTTGGAATTTTGTCACCCATGACGATATGATGGCGGTGAACGGACAACACCTGGTCGGCCGAAATTAAGAAACAGCAGAGGGAGTATGGTGGCGGACGAACGAAGTGTGGTCGGCCAAACAACCGAGAAAAGATTATATCCGCTCTGATACCATGTTAGGCTTGGAAGAATATTGGGGAAATATTTCTATATATTCCTTGATAAATAATAGAAGAATACAAGGTTGTATATATAGGAACCCACAGGCTCGGAACTCTTGTCCGACTAGGAAACAAACTATACAAGGAAAGAGAATAATATCAACACAAGGAAACAAATATTGAAGTATATTCACACTCCTAATTAATCCTCACAACAACAGAGTTTAATTTATAAGTAACTACTCTTAGGGAGATATAGAATACACTCAAAAACTGAAATGAATCAAAAAGTAAAAGAGAGATAGGAAATGAAGAGAAAAGAAGTACATAATCACATTTGGCTATGTATGGGAACTAATCCATAACACCAATGCACACCACTCCCGGCAATCATCAGGTCAGCTCGCGCCCGGCTTAGCTGTTCCAAAATGTGTACCAAACTCCAAGTTTCAATTAACCTTAGCTTGTTTGATAGACATCTCATCGCCCATATTGAATTGAGTGCTCCTTTATTGACACTTTTATCTTTAAACACAAAATCATCCCATACATATATATATATATAGTGCTACAGCTACTACGTACTAGGTAGCCAGCTAGTGAATAGCTAGTATAGGAGACACATACATGTACACATTTTAGTTGATTTTACCGCAGTTCTTTCTGATCTCGCCTTTGGTCCCGGTGAGCGGGCCGAGCTTTCCCATTTTCACCATGGCCCGGGCGAAGTCTCCGGCGAAGGAGGCCGGATTGGCGGCGTAGGCATTGACGACGGAGTCGGTGGACCCGCCATGGAACAGCTGCTGGTCGGAGTGGAACAGCCCCTTCCGAGCCTGCAAGTCCTTGAAGTAGGCATTGTCGAAGGAGGTCGGGGTGGGGTCCATGGGTACGAGGTTGTTGTCGCCCCCGGTTCTCGGACACTTGGCCTGCAGGGAGGAAGCGAATGGGCCGTCGATGTCTCGGTCGTTGTAGATCCGGCTTCGGAAGTTTGTGCACCTCGCCTTTCCAATCGTGTGCCCTCCTATACATACGTACGTACGTACCATTTCTTTTTTTAGTAATTATTCCTCTATCATCAATATAACCAATGGCGGAGCCAAATGTAAATAAATAATATAAAGTGTAAATTAAAAAATTACAAGACATAGTTTATAAAAGAGTTAAAAAAATGACATAGGGGGAATCGAACTCAGGCTTGTGGAGATGATGCGCATGCCTTCAAACATTTCTGCAAAGCAATATAATATCGGTGGGGTTCTAGTGACACTGGAGTTCGGGCGGGGGTTGGGGTTGGGGTTCTAGTGACACTGCGTTGCATAATAGCCACACATTTTGTGGGGGGCTTACGACGGGGTTGGGGTGGGGGTAGGGTGGGGGGGTTTAGGGGGTGGGTTAGGGGATAAGAATCGTCAATTTTGCGAACGGAGCACTGGAGGTGCCCCAAAACCCCAGTGGCACCGGAGTGGCACCGTACTCCAGTGTCACTGGAACCGGGCCAATATAATATTCACAATATTAAATATAAAACTTTTTAATCCAACTGAGTGGGTGCAACTGCACCAATTTGCTCCTATGTGGCTCCGCCACTGAATATAACTACAAATTCCTTCGTCCCAATTTAAATTACTCAATTTAATTTTTAAGTTTTTATTTTCAATTCAGTTGGTTTGATTGTAAATGTCAAATTTTAAAGTAACAACGAACATTTACACTATTCAAAACAAGAGATAATATGACAGGTGTATTTGATGTATTTTTTAATTTTTAGGAGTAAATCGTGCAATTTTCAAAGAATTTGAAGGTAGGCGATGTACTTTTTAATATTTATAGATAAAGCATGTAATTTTTAAAGAGTTTGAGTGCATTTTTTTCATTATCAAAATATGAAATTTAAAGTACAAACTAATATGAAAATATAATGACATCAATCTAATTCATTGTAGTTGTCTTTCGGTATCAAAATATAATATCATACCATGAAAGTGATGACACCGACACCAATTAGAGCACCTATGATGCTCCAATTGGAGATTTGGAACATCAGTTTATAAAATGGATAATTTCTAGCTACTTCTAAACTCTCAATCAAACCCTTCACCTTGACCCGACCTGAACTCTCCATGTTACTCCCTTCAATTGTGAACTCAAACTTTAGTTCATTTTGGAGTTAAAAAATTTGATTTCAAAATTAAATCAACTAAATTTTTAGTTCATTAATTTTGTGAATATGTCCCAAAAACACAATGACATCATAGTATCAATCAGGGATGATGTCAACGAAACCGGCCCAATTCCTATAACTATTCCTCGAATAGTAGTCTCCAAATTAACTTGACATTTTTTTTCAAAAAGAATTACTCGTACTCGCCAAAAAAATTACTTTGGCATTTTGTAAAGAGGAATAACTATCTATACAGTCCCACATTTTCTTCTCTATGTCATTAAAAAAATTATTCTTCATGTGTTTTTAGCACTTTTATGTAATTTTTAAATATTCCCTCCGTCCAAAAATAAAGTTGTCGTTCACTATTCACATGGTCAAACTTTATTCACTTTGTTGGCCTATTTTTATGTCTAATTTGATAAAATAAGAGCATCTCCAACCATGCTTGCTATATTAAATTGTTATTGTTAAATTTTAGCTAGTGAATAGTAATATAGCAAGTGGTTTTTTCTTCCATTTTCCAACCATGCTAGCTAAATTTTAACCAAGAATGGATTTTTCTAGTGCCTCTCTCTATTCTCATGATGAGATTACTTTTTTGGACACTTGATTTACTTTTTATTAATTTTTTTGGCTTGCTATTATTTGGGTGGCTTGCTATGTTTAGCAAGTCAATTTTACTTTTTGACTAGTGTGCTATAATATACTACATCTCTTGGAGATGGAAAGAATAAACTCAATTGCTATTATATAAGTTTTAGGAAGCCATATTGATAAGGTTGGAGATGCTCTAATATAGTCTTGTCACCTCTAGTTTTGTACTCCCAACGTCCCAAAAAGTCTTTCCTGTTTCATTTTTTGCGCATCCTATAAAAAACTTCAACCGACATCTAAAATGCTTAAAATTTACAACATTTCTTCTTTATTGTGGGTAGAACTTATATTGAAATTTTTTTTGGTATTCAAGGCGGGATATAAGTGATTTATGGGATGCGCAAAAAATGAAATAGGAAAGACTTTTTAGGATGGAGGGAGTAGATCTTTTCATGTAGTTTTTAAATATATAATTTTTATTTTTTAATTCCATACCATTTTTCATATAAAATGATTTGAAAATAATTTCAGTCAAACATCGTAACGCGCAATGGGAACTTTATTTGTGGACGGAGGGAGTATATAAATGGCACTTCACACTTTTTATATCTATACCAAATTTTTTCGAATAAGCACATTTTTTGAAAATTAAAAGTAATATCAAAATTACATATTTTTATATTAGGTTTTTTTTCTCTCTTTGCAAAGTTAGTTTTATGGGAGGAAGGGAGTAAGATTTAAGAGCCATGCTAGGGGTACACTTTTGGTGTACCCCATTTGTACACCACCCTCTTCTCGGTTTTATTCACAGAAGGTACTCCAACTTTGATGATTGTAACAAAAAGGTACCTCATCTTAAGTTTGTAACAAAAACGTACCCCATCTTTTAAATCTATAACAAAATCATACCCTTCACCAGAATTGATACTCTCCGGCGAGGAATTGATGAGGTGGCATCCATGTTGGCATACCCCCATCTTTCTCTCTCCTACATGTTAATTATACATTTTCTTCTTAAAATCTTTTTCTTAAAAATTTTAGAAAAATATTTTTATGTTCAATAAAGATGTTTCTTTATGACAATATAAGATTAATTTTAAAAAAAATTCATGTATTAAAATTTTTAAAATAACAATTAATTCTTTGCAAACAAGTTTCTTTTTAATGATATTTGGAAAATATAATTTTTTATTAAAAAAGAATTGAATTAAAGAGAGGATGATGCATTACCCATCAAGATAGTCTAACGTATTTTACACATTCCAGTTAGGCTATCTTGATGGGTAATGCATCATCCTCTCTTTAATTCAATTCTTTTTTAATAAAAAATTATATTTTCCAAATATAACTAAAAAGAAACTTGTTTGCAAAGAATTAATTGTTATTTTAAAAATTTTAATACATGAAAAATTTTATTTAAATTAATCTTATATTGTCATAAAGAAATATGTTCTTTATTGAACATAAAAATATTTTTCTAAAATTTTTAAGAAAATATTTTTTAAGAAGAAAAGGTATAATTAACACGCAAGAGAGAGAAAGATGGGGGGTATGCCAACATGGATGCCACATCATCAATTCTTCATCGGAGGGTATCAATTCTGGTGAAGGGTATGATTTTGTTATAAATTTAAAAGATAGGGTACGTTTTTGTTACAAACTTAAGATAGGGTAACTTTTTGTTACAATCTTTAAAGTTGGGGTACCTTATGTGAAAAAAAGCCACCTCTTTCCACCACCCATTTTAAATTAAATTTTTTTTTATATTTTCTTGTCCAATTATGTTGACAAGGAGGGGTGGGGGACAAATCCTGACATTTTTTAAGATTTAATGTAGTATGGTATTTTGAAATTTTAATCACGTGGTCGGGTGAGTCCATTTCAAGGAATATTGATTATTAGCCGTAATATAGGGTCCAATTCAACAACTCAGGGGATATTCAATAATGCACGTGGTTGCGTCGGTATTTATATACTCCCTCCGTCCTATAATCATTTTCCCGGTTCGCCAAACGAAGAAAAATCCCAAGTTTTTTCAATCTATTTTATTTAAATATTGGTATAAAAATAAAAAATAAAATATACATATTTAAAAACTACATCAAAAGTTCAAGAAAACAAATGGTGACAAGAATATTTTATTTTATCATATAGGCCATGAAAAAACACAAATAAATACTATAAATTCTCGTGAAGTTGGAATAGTGCTCTGAAAAGATCATTATAGGACGGAGGGAGTATATTTTTTTAATCAGGACCATAGTCGTTTGGAATGGCTTAATTTTACGACTTTGTTAAATCTTTGATGTAGTTTTTCAAATATATTTTAAACGCTATGTAAATAATTAAAAAAGATACTTTTGAATAAAAAAACCCGGATTCGAAATAATACACACACCTGAGAGGGCGACCATTTCCCTGGCAGTAAAACCCTTTTTGGAGAAGAGGGAGAGGAGCTGGTTTAGAGAGAACTGTGGTCCGGGGATGTTGTTGTTGGCCGCTGATTGACTTGCAGTGGTTGAGTCCCTTCTACCCAGTACCACATTCCAGCTTGGCCCCCCTATCTGCATGCAAGCAAGCTCACAATTCACACTACATGCATCCATATTATATATACAAATTTTAATATTTTTTATTCACTCCTCCGTCCCAAAAAGAATGGGACGGTTTGATTTTTTTGGAAATTAAGAGAGGAATATTTTGGTATTGACTTTCCAAAAATACCCTTGATGTGATGGGTAAAAGTAGGATCTGATGGGTAGATTATTAGAAAAAAGGTATGATGTGATAGGTAGTGTATGAAAAAGTAAGGGGTAAAATGGTTTTTTAATAGAAATGTAACGGACTATACGGGATGCAGTTTTTTCTAAACGTAACAAACTTTTTGGGATGGAGGGAGTACAAACTTTAGTTATTTTGTTTCTCTATTCTCATTAATTGCTTAATAAAAAATATATTCATGTCATCACTAATCTCGTAGATCTTTTGATTTGTGTTTTAATACTCTCTTCTGTCTTAAAACCTTTTTTGTTTTGACTTTTTTTGGTCAAACAGTGACGCTCTTTGACCATAATAAATTAAACATAATCTCAATAACTAAATTATATAAAAATTTGATATATCAAAACTATATCCTAATATGAACCCAATTATATTGAAGTTATATAATATAACTAAATATACTTTTCTCACAATTTTTGGTCAAATGGTGTCACTGTTTGAACAGAAAAAGTCAAAACGGGAAATGTTTTTAAGACCGGAGGGAGTATGTAATTTTTATTTTTTTAATTATACACCGATTTTCATATATATAAAATGATTTGAAAATAAATTCAATAAAACATCATATATCGAATCGGGCAATTTAAATCGGGACGAGGGAGTATTATAGAGTATTTTAAAAAGTGGAATTTACATAAATTGTACTAAAACATAATGACTTTTTCTAAATAGCATCACATGTGTAGCACTTTTAGGCGTTATCTATTAGTCATTATTCAAGTAAATGTTTGCCATCACTGGACATTACGGACATTATTAAGTCTTATTTAGGGAATAAAACTATGTGAGTGCTATTTAGAAAAATGATTTACATTTTAGTGCTATTTAATGCAAATATTTCTTTTAAAAAAGAATGAGGCCCATCCCCGAGTAGCCCCTAAAACCCGGCTGGACGGTTTTTGGACTTTGATTACAAATTTGTGGCAAAGAATGGAGCATGCGTTTGGTACTTACAAAGACTCTATGCTTAGCATAATAGCTTTCCAGCACAGTTGACAGGAATCGAAATTAGGTCTTACTGCCTTAGCACTCTTTGTCTTGCCAACTACGCAAAGCCCACCAATTTCAGTTTACCGCTACTGATGTAGAATTTAAAACTGAAATTATATACTCTGTATTACCATATTTCCTAAAAATGACAAAATACCCCATAATAATTTGATTTGAAAAATAGTAATGTTAGATTCACAAAAAAACAGCTCACAAAATTCACAAACTTGCCTTCTTAATATTTTCCTAGAAATTAAATGCACCCAAATAAAAGATAATTTAATTTAAAAGTTACAAAAGATAAATTTGTGAAGTTTGTGAACTATTTGAATGCCATCGTGGCAGCATATCAAGATTGAATACGTCAAGCAAGTCATTGGCAGTCTATTTAAGCATCATTTTCCTACTTAAATTTCAATAATAACTTCATAGGCTTTAATTTTGCTACTGACTAGTAAGCATCAATAATTGGACTACAAAAATAATGGAACGAAGCTAGCTAGGCCGGATATCCTACTCTCCTAGAGACACATTTTTTCTTCCTTCTTTTTTTCTTTTTTGCATGCATGGAGCATTGTTACTTCATGGAAAAGATTGGCACAATTACTATTTTGGTCTCTCCATAAATTTTTTTATTTACTCCTTTTCGTTGACTATTTGAGAAATAAAAAATCCTTGTCCCATCTTGTTTTGTACTATCTTCGTCCCATAAAACTTTTTATATTTTGACTTTTGGGAAAGAAAACTGTAGAAGTTTGACCAATGTAAAACGACGATAATTGAAAAGAATAGGGCTTGTGAAATATCAAAATAGAAAGGACATAAAAGGCAGTAGAGATATGTTCGATTAGATTTAAGAAAAGTAAGGCAATTGTGTATGTCCATTTAACTCAAATTGAATTCTTTTATGGGACAAGCAAGATATGAAAATTGAAAAGTTTTACAGGACGGAGGAAATAGAACTTTTGATGTCCTTTTGAATGGTGTAATTTATACATTTTATTTTTCTACACATTTGTAAATAAAACGATTTTGATGAACACGAAAACCGTGAAGGGCCAACGTAAAAGAAAGACAGCATTGAACTTTAATGTATGCATTTCAGTTGGTTCACTTACGGCGACAACAGAGTCTCTAGCAGCAACGGCAATGATATCAGCACAAGACACAATAGCCTGACAAGAACTCTCCAACTTGGCTTTGATGTTGTCTATCACATCGAGTCCCCTGATTGAGTTGTTATTCGGAGCCGCCGTTTGTTCTCCGATGAAACTCGGCGTGTCGTCCAGCAAGATCGACGCATCACAACCCTGCATACACACACACACACACCACATGTCCAAATCATTCTGTACTATCCATAAGCTCAAACTTGTGGTTGATAGAATTTAGGATGAGATAAGAATAACTAGATTGGGTAATAAGACACTTGTGCTGAACTACATTAAAAGATTGAATCCAATCGACTACTTAGTTCAACTCAAGAGCTTATATATACCGACTACTTTTCTATTCAACTTTCAATGTGAGATAGACTCTAACAGTGGTAATAGGTCGTTCAATATGTAGTTTTATATTCTAACGAAAAAAAAGATGAAAGTTGATGACGATCGACTCACATTAACAAAGCAGTCGTGGAAGTGAAGGCGAAGCAAAGACGCGGCCATTCTAGGCTCTGCCTTCACGGCTTTGATGACAGCGGTTTTGATGATGGAGAGCGCGTTAGGGCATGTTTGGCAGTAGAAATTCTCCGACAGATGATTGTTTGCGCAGTTTGGCCGGACTAGAAGGGAGAGGATAAGAGTATAATAAATAAAGAGCACAAGAGATGATGAAAAGCTGCGGAGTAGGAGCTTCGCTGCCGCCATGGCCGCCTAATAACACTATATATGTTCGATACTTAGCTTTGAGATCAAATGAGATGTATATAATATATTAGCAGAGCAAATAAAGAAGCTAAGACCGAAGTTAAGAAGCTAAAAAGAAATTAAGAGAATGAAGGAGAGAAATTTATTGACGGGATAATGAATCAAGCTTTAGCTTCTTGATCGGAGGGCTTGTGTGCCTAATGCCCATAATCAGCAAGATATTTATAGCACTAAATAGATATTTAGACAATTAGACTGCAGTAGGATTTGTTGATATAGTCCAATCCTGCATGCCTTAATAAAATTTAATATTCCCCCGTCCCATAAAACCTTTCTCCTTTCTTTTTTCATCCGTCCCATAAAACACTTCTCATTTCTATTAAAAAGTCACTTTTACCCCTTACTTTTTCATACCATACCTATCACATCATACCTTTTTACTAATAATCTACACATCACATCAAAGGACATTTTTGGAAATTCAATACCAAAATATACTCCCTTAAATCTTTTCAAAAAGCAAAACATCTCATGTTTCATGGGACGGGGGGAGTAGCACTTAAATTGTTTTATTCCCTAAGTAGCACTTAATAATGTCCATAATGTTCAGTGATGACGAATATTTGCTTGAATAATGACTAATGCATAATGACTAAAAGTGCTACATTGGGAAGAAAAAACACATGTGATGCTATTTAGAGAAAGTTATTGTGTTTTAGTACTATTTAAGTAAATTCTCTATTTTATTTGCTATTATATCTATTATTCTTACTCCCTCCGTTCCACAAAACCCTTCCGGTTTTGACTTTGGGAAAAAATAAGGAAACTGTAATTTTGGTTGATTTTCTAATTTTTACCTTGATGTGATGGGAAAAAGTAAGATGTGATAGTTTGGTTATTAGTGAAAAAAGTATGATGTGATAGGTATGGTATGAAAAAGTAGGGGTAAAAGTGGTTTTTTAATAGAAAGTGGAAGTGTTTTGTGGAAAGCAAAAAAACAAAAGAGGAAGAGTTTTGTGGAACGGATGGAGTAATATATTCATACAAGTTGATCATCCATAACGAGAAACATCTTGGAGCACATGTACTAGAATGAAGCCGGCAGAAGCGGTTATGTGAGAAAGCAAAATCTTCCCGTTGCATGACGAACGAGCTTGAAAGTACATTTGCTGAGTTTTTTAACAGGAGGGTATTAACGATTGGAACCAGAGCGAGAAGTTTTTTTTCTTCTTCTTGTGGGTCGTTCTATGCTTCTGTATCATTTTCCATACTCTTGAACTCTAGAAATAAAGCACGTACAAATGCAACTTTCCATTTTTTCAATAATCACGCACATGATTTTTTTAATAGAGAGAAATGGATAGAGGACGATGGTTACTATACACACTCATAAAGAGAGGGATAAGGGACAACAAGGCCATGATCTTGGTCGTTGACGGTCAATGATGAAGATCGACCGGCAATGGCGCATGGTCAAAAGAAAGGAGCTAAATTTTTTAAGACACACCTTAACTCTTATACATACCATATACTCCCTCCGTCCCTTAAAACCTTTCTCCATTCTTTTTTCATTCGTCCAAAAAAAACATTTCTCATTTCTATTAAAAAGTCACTTTTACCCCTTACTTTTTCATACCCTACCTATCACATCATACCTTTTTACTAATAATCTATCTATCAAATTATACTTTTACCCATCACATCAAAGGACATTTTTGGAAATTCAATACCAAAATACACTCCTTTTAAATCTCTCTTCAAAATCAAAACTCCCATGTTTTCCGGGATGGAGGGAGTATGATACAATTATCTAATAACGATTGGTCTCATTGAATAATGATGTTGCATATATATATATATATATATATATATATATATATATATATATATATATATATATATATATATATATATATATATATATATATATATATATATATATATATATATATATATATATATATATATATATATATATATATATATATATATATATT